GGGAGAAATCCGTCCGGTTTTGGTTTGTCCGATTCGCTGTAATCTAGGTGTTGCAAACACCTGAGCTTTAGGCTCACCACCGCTGTACCTGCAGGAACCCTTAATGCATCCCGCAACTGCAAAGCAGCACTGCGATGATCCGCCAAAGAGGAAGCAGCAACCAGCCAGTTTTTCTACCTTTGTGCATTTTCCACCATCCCTGGCCTGTCCTCCTTTCATATAGAGACGAAAATTATGGACTTGTTCAAGAGGCGGAATTGTATCCCATGATGAGCCTAAGATGTAGACGCCTTTCGGTTCCACGATCTGGTTGTTTCCACCCACTCAATCTTCCCCTTCTAATTTCAGACGTTCCCTTTTTTGAATGGGCTCAGTCCAGCGTTTCCTGTGCCGATATTGCCTATTTGGGTCTTTTAGGTATTCCCAACGATTTCCTACTGCGTGTTCTAGCAGGGGATACCCGCATCATGCTGTACGTTGTACATTTAAGCTCCGAAGAGTGCTGGCGTACAAACTTTGGGTGGTCTCACCAAAGCGCAGTCAAGCACTTGCCAAAATTAACCCCATGTTGTGTCTATATGTGTGTTGTTGCAAGTCAAACCAGGCTGTTTCGCAACCGCTTGGCGACGGTTGGCTAGATAATCAGTCGTCCCCCTCGTAGCGTCTCAGGTGCATATAGATCTCCCGTCCTTGACACCTATGCGGGACTAAAAATGGTCGGATGTGGTTTGGTAGCCCCATCTGAAATAAACAAACCACAGTCACCTCTAGTACGGGACCGGTGGCAATAGGGGTCTTTACAGGCGGGGCCGGGGAACGCACAGGCGACGAGGTCAAGCAGTTGTGTGTAAATTAAAGGCATTGGGAATGCGCGGTTGTACTTTGAATGGTTGAGAAATAGTTGCGCTAACCCCTAACCCTAGCCCTAACCCCAACCCCAACAGTGTAGTGTCTATCAGGTGGGGCCACCAAACCACATCTCACCCTAAAAATGATGTGATCACGGCTCCTTTAGGACAGCCAATCACAGGCACCCACAAACCGCGCAATCACCCAAACTGGCACTGACCGACTCTCACAATACCCCCATACATCCACGCCCATGCCACCTTGGCGGGCAAACGTGCGTAATAAGTGCCGAATGTCCCTCCCCTTGACTGGTCGATTAATTAGCTCGACAACGGCCTGCGCACCCGTCACGCGCGTCTGTTCGCCAAGGTGACGTGAGTGTGCATGTTAACGCGACTTGTTAGAGTCAGCCAGCGTCAATCTCATGAGTTGATTGGATGATTGAGGCAGTTCTGGGCACCTGTGATTAGCTGTCCCAGAGGTTGGATGCGCGTTTTTCGGCCCCTCGGGGACCGCGATCACGTGGCTCCTGTCGCGATGTAAGTGCGTAAGGCCTATACGCGTTTGAGACACTCCGCCCTAACACATTAACTCGGTTCACTGCATGGCTTTTTTGAATTCGCTTGCCCCAGGCCCTTTTTCCTACAACAGAGGAACCCCTAAGTTCTGCTTGAGCATACAGAACAGGGGAAGAGGTTGCCACCATTTGAAATGTTCGCATATAAAATAATCAATGACCTAGACCGAGCAGTAAATCGATCTCTTTCGCAATCATTAATTGTGGTCTGTTGAGCCGCCAGGATTCCCTTTAACAAAATGCTACTATTGTCTGAGCTACTGACATAAGGGCCGGTGACTCAATGTTTCCAGAGTTATTACGCACGTATGCAAACTGTCCCAAAACATGCTTATTTTAGAATGGAGTGCCGACTGAAATGGTCATTTCCGGTTTATTAGCCGTCATCACACAACGAAATCCAACTAAAGGTTCGGATGACCTACGATCCGAATCTAGATTCTTCAGTCATTGAGCGTTAAGTAGTCCCATGCTCTATCACTGAGCCATCCGACCGTTATCCTGCCGGTTGAGGCCGCGAATACTAACTCTGGTGGAAGCGCGTTCACTGATCAGGTTGCGGGATGTGCTTGTATTTTTGGGCTTTGGGCTCAATGTAGAGCCCTCATAGGCTGTCTCAAGGTGACCAGTCATATGCGTAGGCAAGGGTGCACTGAAGAAGGCAGGGGAAATTGGGAGAGCCATTTATGGACTATTAGTCTTCGTCTGTTTCAAATGTCTTTGTGTTGGAGCGGGATCTTTTACAGGGGCGATGACAGTAAGCATACTGGTCGGTAATTTGAATCCTTAGATGAGAGATTTTGTACGTTTTGGCTCCAGCCCTGTAAATGAACGCAGTTCGGCATCAAATCCCACGTGAAAGACCGGTATTACACAACTTCCACAGGCTTTGAAAACGTTTTATATTAAAGGAAATGTACGAAGCCTTGGTGAATCTACGGAAATTTTTAGAGAACCGGTAAGTGATAAAAGAGCAATAATTTATGTGGGGAGTCAACGTTCCGTGAGCCATTGAACACGATTACATAAATCCTCATTCTGAACAACTGAACGTTTTTCGCCAAGATGACCAGCCACCAGTTTTGTTCGAGGATTCGACAAAAAACTGGCCACCGCGTCCGTCTGGACGCATATGATTCGCAGTTTTTATCACACACACACCTCGGAGATTAGTCGGCTGTGACGTTTGGAAGGAATTTCTGAGTTACTGTGCACAGTTCAGTCCTGAAGCGACTTTTACTGATCCTGAGTCTTCCTTGTTTCCCCACAAGCGTTTTATTTTCGTTCAACATGTGATCCATCCTCTCATCCATATGATAAGATACCAACGTACAATACTGACGGTCTTTGAAACTGAGCCTGCTCTTCATTCACATAGGAAGTTTTGGTAGGGGTCGGTTACGTTGTCCTGGTCATAAATGTAAGCGCAATGTGGACCTTGCAAGTAGAGTAGGCCGGAGGAGGATGCTGACATCATCATCATCATCATCATCATCATCATCATCATCATCATCATCATCATCATCATCATCATCATCATCATCATCATCATCATCATCATCATCATTATCAGCAGCAGCAGCAGCAGCAGCAGCAGCAGCAGCAGCAGCAGCAGCAGCAGCAGCAGCAGCAGCAGCAGCAGCAGCAGCAGCAGCAGCATCATCATCATCATCATCATCATCCTCGTCGTCGTCGTCGTCGTCGTCGTCGTCATCATCATCATCATCATAATCATCATCATCATCATCATCAGCAGCAGCAGCATCATCATCATCATCAGCATCATCAGCATCATCATCAATCAACATCATCATCATCATCATCATCACCACCAACACCACCACCATCATCACCAGTTAACTTCGGACCTAAGTCCCACTGCTCGCTCACTCACTGGATGATTTGCCTGTTGTCAAATTAATTTTTTTTCCTCGATAGAGGTCGGTTACGCTGTCCTGCCCACAAATGTAAACGCAATGTGGACCTTGCAAGTAGAGTAGGCCGGAGGAGGATGCGTTAGTGGGAAAGCAGCCAATGCTAAAACGGTAAAGAGCAACCCGATGATTCCGACTAGAGCTAGGGCCAGTTTTGGGTCTGAGTTAGTGCCAGGCTGAAAAATGAATCTAAGGTTAGGGTTCCGGTTAGAATTAGGCTTTGGATTGCAGTTTAGGTTTACGTTTAGTATTAATGTAGGGGCTCGGATTGGTGTTAGGGTTAGGGTAGAGTAGGGTTACAGTTATGGCTATGGGTCAGGCTTAAGCTTAGGCATAGGGTCAGGGTTAGGGTTTGTGGCAGGTTTAGGGTTAGATTTAGCGTTAAGTTTAGGGTTAGCGTTGGGTTTACAATTACGTCAGGCAGTAGGTTTACTTTTGAGATTGAGGTTAGGTTTTGGGTACTGCTGCCGTTTCAGCCACGGCTGCTTTCCCCACTAACGATTTCAGCGTCCTCCTTCGGCTTACCTTACTTTCAATGTCCATATTGCGCTTACGCTTGGGACCAAGACAGCGTAATCGACCCTCACCGAACTTTCTTAAATAAACATCCGTTGGCTTTTTCTACGCGATATGTGCTGATTGCATTTTTCGCAGCTATCGTTTGTGGTCTTCAGGTGTTATCTGTTTTGCGTGCCCATTTTATCCACCGTGAATGGAGAATTTTTTGCCGACAATTTTGGAATTATACTTCCAAAATAAAGCATATCCCTCCCTCTCTCTTCCCCTCTCTCGCTCTTTTTTAAAAACCTAAATTATCATGCTCTATTTTGCTATGGTGCGTCGCCGTCAAAAGACTGCCCGAGTAATGATTCCTCTGATAAAGGTCAGCCATTTCAGCAACGCAACTGGATTTAATTTTATCCAAATAGACCTCTCCCCTTGACCTTGTGAAATCAGGAGGTTACCTGCCAGTATCGGTCTCGCGTACTGACATCCTGAGTTGTGTTTACTGTTACAGCTGCGTTGACGTAAGGGTAGCATAGGGTGCGTGTACGCGGGGGGGGGGAAGGGGGGCTTGGGGAATTCGCACACGTGTGAGATGGACCTGGATCGCAACCTTCCGACACTCACCCCGAGAAAACAGCCCGGACCCCAACGTTCACATGACGTTCAGCAGTCCCCTTTTTAAAAGTCCACAGGTGTCAGAGCACCCAGTCGAAAGGCAGCTGGGTAGGGTCTGCAATACTGGGCCCCAGGGGTGCACTGCGTGCATCTCTGCACGCGTGCTGAACACCTGTCAGCCTCCCCTGACAAGCTGCGGCTCACCTGGTGGCTTGTCCACCCGGCCCCTTCAGCAGCCACCGAAACGCAAATCATCTCTGTCTCGCACGTCCCTCCCCGTGTATGAATGCACCGCGGAAGTCAAAGAACGTTTACTTATCCACTTTTACTACTTTGAAATAGTAGTAAGGAGGAAGACCAGTGTCAAAATTGCGAGGGCGCACAAATACACGGGTTGAGAGATTCTTGCTCCACCCCTAAAGCGCCAGTCAGACTAGGGAAAGTCCATCTGCAGAGCAGAACTGAGCGGAAGACTCGCGTAACATAGACTGAAATCCTAAAGTATTCTAAGCAAAATTTAGCATACACGACATTCGATAATGACAATCATACTACTTATTCCCTGATCGTTGGATAAATGGTCCTAAGGGTGATAATAGCGCTGGTTATGATAGTTATAGCGGTGGTGATGTTGGTAGCTTAGTGGGACAACGGTAGGTTGTGCAACCCCACTTCGCAACGAGTAACCCCAGTCTCGTTTAATACAGGAGTAGTGGTAATAAGGGTTTTAATGGCTGGGGCATGACTGCGTAGGGCGAGCGAAATGCACACGACAAAATATATTTTCGCTGAAATTCTTCCACGAGTTAATTGGAAAATAAATAAAAGGCAAGTCACAATAAAGAATTGAATAATCCGCTGCTAGCGAATTTGCGACAGCCTAGGAACCGATGAAACGAACGGCCAATGGAATAGAAGGACAGTAAGTGCCAACTAAAGTAACTGTAGAAATTTACTGTAAGATGGCGTGATTCACATAAGTATTGGAGAAGCTATGGAAATACGCCCTAATGAACAAGCAAAAAGCCAAATAACGTACGTATGGACGCCTGTTTGTACTGTCATAACAAGTCAACTGACTACCGTAAAATAAAAATTTAAGGAAAGCAAATATTTATGTGTAAAGGTTATGTACAATAATTAAATGCGTTAATGAACAGAATAAGTAATAACGATTGTGTGTTTCTTTGTAAAATACATCAGCACCAGGTAACAGAAAAGTCAGACAGTCGAACCTATAAACTCGGAGAAGTTGGTAGAATACTGCCACACAAGGGCACTGCTATCTGGCGTAGCAAAATGCCAATATATCAGACTGCACACCAACAAATATGAATTCCGTTGTCGAAGGAAGAAAGCTCTAAGGGCTCCGATGTCGGGTCAAATAATATGGGCCCTCGTTGACGGGGTTTATTGTCGTCTGTGGTTTGGCCTAGACAGCGTAGGTTTGAAGCAAATGTGGGAAATATTCCTATCGCACATGGCGGAAGTATATACGGTGCAACAGCTTTCCTAATAGGGAACCTGAATGGTTCATTCTTGAACTCAATTGGACGATCATTTGTAGGTGAATTTTTGTACGTAAACTCAACGGAATTTAACTGCCGTATTGCAGCTTATGAGAGGGACTATGAACAAGTATACTTGAAGTAGCAAGCCATGGCGTACGCGTATAACAACAGAAACCGTTTGGAGATATCATGGAAGCTGAGTGTTTGTGTCCTACCCGAGCCAACGTAAGTCAAAACGCAACCGACGACCCTTACGCCATTCGTTGTATGGTGAGCACCGACATGGCACATGAAGGATAAGCTAGTCTTTTCGAAGAAGCGAATGATTCATGGCGTACACGTCCGACATCGTTTGGAGATGTCGTGGAAGCTAGGCGGTTGTGCTCTAACTGAGGCAAAGTAAGCCAAAACGCAGTCGACGATCCTTACAGCACGCGTTGTATAGTGAATACCGACATGACACAAGAATGTATAGCTACCCTTTTGAAGGAAACGGGTTACGGAAAATGGGGAGTGAAAGCCGAAGGCTGCTTCATGCCACATAATTTATCACTAAAAAGATCATATTGGAACGACTCGGTACACGTGGTTACACCAGTGTGCCAGGCAAAACTCGAAGGGCGATTTCCTGTAGCTATAAGATGACGAACTAAGCAACGCTTACTAAAACGAATATAGTAGTAATTTATACCTATTAAACATAAGGGGATTACACAACCTATTCTTACACTTAGTGGTTCTGTCTACAGCAATAGCTGAAATAAGTCCATAAAAGTAAACAGTTGCAGCACATATATATATATGTATATGAAAAAGGCATATACGGAGTCCACACATGTCTGCTGTCACTCCGGTGACTAAAAATCGATGATGAGTTGAAAAACAGCTGTAACCTAGTGCGATAGAACAGACATATAAGAATCAATGGAACCCATTGGTTCATACAATTTGTAACCAGCTCGATATGTCCTCAGCCTACACAGGCTGTTATTATGTTGTTATCTAACCCAAAAATGGCTAAAATGAAAATTATACTTTTGGAACTCCCTTCAAAGGTGCAGTATCAGACACATCGGACAAACCTGTTGAAGTCTGAGCAGATGCATCATCTCTGCATATATAAATGTCTGACTGAGCTACGGCCCAGTGAGGTCTAACTACCCCCCCCCCCTTTCCACGTGCAAGCGGCGGTATTATCATCACCCCAATCCTAAACAAACATTCTAGGGAAGGATGGGACAAAATATGCAGGGCAGACGATGTAGGCCCGGCAACCGCAGCTCTTGCGGGTTGCGTTCGGGTCTTGAATAAACACACGCACACCCACCCACCCATCCACACCTGCAGAGGACACTCAGACTTCCGCTTCCCTCCCCTCCCCCCCCCTCGTCCAACCACCACCAAACACGTTACTGCTGCCTCAGCGGCGGCGCCGCCGTCATCACTCTCACGCCTTTTTTGCCTTTTCACCGCGTTGCCGTCGTCGCCGTCTGCACAGCGAGCGAGGACGGCCAAAAGAGGACGGGACAGGCGCGCAGTGATAGGGGCGGTCGCGTTAACAGACTGGGTCTTCAAAATATCCCCGCCATCCCCACCACCACCACCACCACCGCTGCAGTCGCAGGCAGTGCCTGTGTCCAGGACATAGCAGCGAATAGATGCGCTGGGGGCGTCAGCGAGAGCTGGAGACGGTGATGTCACTCAGAAGCAGGAATGCGTAAGGCAGGGAGGCGAGGCACCTGGGACGTCATTGGGAGGTTGTCACAAAAGCCGCTGCATGGCAGGGTTGCCACACGTCCGTACATGCAAATACCCGCCATCTTGAAGTACGCTGCCAGACAAAAAGAACTTATACGACAAATTTTGGCACGGGAAACAATTCCATGTTTGTTTTATGACGGCGGTATTTTCGGCCTTCAGGGAGAATCCATATTGTCTCCTAGTTAAATCCAACGGTGACGATCGGATATGTGATCCCACTGAGAAGAAGGGAGGTAAGTACTCCTGAAATACGGGAACGGCGGTAAAAGGCGTCTTAGGGGTGAAGTGGACGAAACTAACAGATGACTGCCGATACAAGGGAAGATGCGAGTTCCAAGAACTAGTTGATCATAAGAAGAAGCGATCGTTGGAACAGAGGCTTTATTCGTCTGACGTTTCGGATTCTCACTTGAACCCGCCATCAGAGACAGTGGCAGAAGTGTCTCTGATGATGGGTTCAAGTGAGAATCCAAAACGGCAGGCGAACAAAGCCCTTGCTTCAGCGATCGCTTCTTCTTC